ACCACTAAAAGCTACCCACAGTATTAGGATAATTCATAAGTCTGCCATTAAATTTTTCATATAAGACAAAAACTGCCATTTCTGATAGCCCAAAGGCTGTGGTGAAAGTAATAAAATACTTAATTGTGATGTGAGGTCAGATCAATCTTTTATTGTCAGTTACACGCATGCTATCCTTCAAGGTTTAATTATTTAATAAGTAGATTTTCCTCAAAATTATATGATTCATATTTGCACTTTGCCTTTAAGTTGACACTGACATTTAGTAGTTGATCTGCAAAGTCTGCGCATTTTTAATCCTTGATACTATTTCGTTGTCGCAATTTAATGCTTCTCTCCTAAACTTGGTAAGTTTTCATAAGATCAGATTTTTACAGTAGATTTAATTTACTTCATTTACCTGTAAAGGTAAAAACCTTTGGTTCAATCTTAATATTGACTATGTGAAGAAGATACAGTAGCACAATTTTAGCCTCATAGAGTTCATTAGGCGGGAAAGTATTTCACTTAATTAAAGTAAGTTTGATACCACATTGCTATACGAACCAGCCAATACTGCAAATTACGCAAATCATACTTTTGGATAAATCTTGGCTTATAAAATTAAAATTTGTTTAATAAAATTGATCGATGATAGCAGTATAAGTCAGCATAATTTAAATATTAAAAGAATTTTCTATTCATTTCATGCTAAATAACTTCTTATTTTTAAATCTCGAGAGGAATGTAATGAAAAACATAATATAATTCTCAGGTAATGTGGGCATGTGTTACTTTAGCTAAAAGAGAATTTAATTATTTAATTTCCAATTGCGTATTTTTTGCCGTCTTCTATGTGATTGAAATCTGGCTGTGCATGGTTTGGCTGGTCAAAGACCACCATGATTGCGCGCTGAATATGCACTGCATCACACTTCGAAATTTCATATTTATTTTTTCTTGTTTAAATAAAACCAAACAGTAGCGAAAATCGTTGACTCTTTCTTTGTTCCTTTGTTGAAAGAATATAAAGTACTTTATTATTACTTTTAATTACAAAAAGGTAACAATTGTAACAGTTTTCAATGAATAATTTCATTTCAATTGATTGATGTTATGATTTTATGTCATTTAAACAAAACTTAAGCAACAAACAAAGAAGCCCATTTTAACAAATATTATTTTAAGGATAGAGATAAAGAAGAGGCCTTATTTAGAATTTTATTGAAATTTACGTTGTGAAGGTATTTAATTTACTTCAAACAATAAACAACATTTTTTTGATATATCAAACACAGAATCATATTCTTATTATCAAATACTGACCACAGTTGTAAGGTTTGCAAAGGGAAGTTACTTCCATAAATGAAATTCGAAGTAGATTTGGCAACTTTCAAAATTTTCATTATCCAATAATTGAATGCTTCATGGAATAGGCTGAAATTGAGTAATCATCTGATCATCATCTGAATGATCATTTGGAAACATTTCAAATAGACATTAGGTTATAAGGCTATTTGATTGATTAAATAAGACTGAAGAAATTTTTACGGAATGATCCTGGAATCTATAATTTCTGAAATTTCATTTTTACTCTTAATCTTTTGAAGATAAATTAGTTGAAGCTGCAGGAACCAACCTTAATCCTATTAAAAAAGGCTTAATAGGAAAATGTCTCAATCCAGTAAATGAATTTGAAGCTTCGTATGGAAAAACTAAGCTAACCATTACGAAAAGTTCATACGGTCTTCATCAAAGGATAAAATGAAGAAATAACCTTTGCTGTACTCCATTTTCTTTAATCATATTCTTGATCTCAATTGATAGGAATTTTTCGTAATTAATTAAAACATTACGATTTTTCTTTGTTGCAATGGAGTTTCACACAATTTGGAAATGCTAAAAGTCTCAAATATGAACCGTGGGTTCACCTACAAATACTGGCCTTATTTTAATTCAAGTGTAATTTGCCGATTTAAAAATCACAATTTCTTTCAAAATCAATTGTTGATTTAGTCAAAGTGATTTACATGAATTCTGATAAGGGAACACAAAATACAACCATTGAATTAATCTCACATTTCAAGCAACTAGAATACCATGTGTAAATAAATGACAGTAAGCTACTCTATAGTAAAGGAAAATGAGATATTATTAAACTTTTGATTAGTTAATTTGGTCATATAATTGTGGCTCGTAAAAGCAAAGTATTTCGGACATCACTGTAACAAATAATATGCTAACTTTATTAAGCTTCTAAAGTGTTAAATAAGTCGACATGATAATTTTGACAATATTATGAATTCGACTGGGGAGCCTGAGATCGCTCCAATATTAGTGCAGTTCATCCGAAAATTCCAAAATTGAAATATTTGGACAATACACATTTAAAACTATAAAATAAGTAAAGCGTGAAAGCAGACGAATGTAATCGGAAGTAAAACGGTGAAAATTTATTCCTCGGGACACTTCAGCAACTCTTTCCGGACTTTCGATTCAAGTGAATGTCAATTAGTTTTTATTAAATCAATAATTCTTCTTACATCCGACTCAGTGCTGACCAAACGTCCACCTAGGTTTGATCTCTTGACAACTTAACTTAGTAGACCGAAATAATTTAAGCTTTTTATCGGCATATGATTTACTTGATTTATTTTCATTTTTAAAAGTGCAAATTTTTCTTAATTTCGTTCAAATTCGATAGACAATATGAAAATTATTTGTATATTCAGAAGGAAATGAACAACTGTTAATAAAAAATTCTTATAAAACCAATTCAACACAAATCAGCCCAATTTCTAATAATAAATGGAAAGCCAAATTGAAAACGAAAGAAATTGGCAAAATGCAAATTTTTAGCTTTTTTTTCAACTCCCACCTAGGATTTTTCCTATTTTGAGAAAGTCAGTAGGATTAATTGCTCTATAACAATTTGCATGCAGTAAATCTAATTTTCCTCTGAAATTCTTCGTTGGCACTTAATACTTTATTTTTCTACCAAAATAAAAGTTCATACTCTAACTAAAAAACTTTACACTTTTGGAAAAAAAACAATCTTTGATGATTTATGGCGTTCAAATTTCTACTATTGTTAATGTACTTATTTTTTGGGGTCTGAAAAACTAATCGGCGTTTTTTTCTGTAAAATTGATATGAGATACTAAAATAAGTATTTCAATGGAAGAAATTACTGAGAAAAATAGTTTCCCAAAATGTTTAACTTCCAAAGATATGATAGCATTAGCTTTAAAGGTTATTTCTTATTGCCACTTAAATGATTTGTAGATGTCGAGTAAATTGAAATTTGAAATAATAATTGAATCAGAGCGATTGCATCATAAAATGTTTTGTCCGATGAAGTTTTTATCTATGTTTTTTACATTCGTAAAAAGAACTCCTCCCCCACAGGTATCATTCCAAATCTAATTAAATACACTCGGAAACGGGAAAAAATTGAATAAAGAAATTATTTGGACAAGCATTAAAAACTGCAAGAAATCAATTTTTATTAAAATTCAGTTATCATTTTAAAATATATAAGGCGTTCTCTTGAACATGTGACGCAATCACTCGATTTCAGGATGTGGAAATCACGTTCAATTTTTTTCTCTTGAGTAAAATCTTTATTGATCTCATGGAATCATCCTCCTAGATCATAGGTACAAAATAATCAGAATTCAATTGGCAAGGCCAAAAGTCAAGATATAACATAGAAATCTCTCCCCACGAATCAGGCAACTTCCTCCCCCCCCCCCTCTATAACTGCAAATTTAACCATTAATTTCTAGAAAAGAAATGATTTTTTTGGTTCCTTTGTGTATTTTCATAATTGAAATTTAATTACTTTAAGATGATCAAATGACTATGATAATTTATTTGTGAATGCATTAAAGTTTGCATATATTAAAACAAGTACGATTTATCATTCGCTTGTAAAAAGTTTAATCTTAAATAACAAAATTTATCTTAATGTAAAAACAAACTCCACGATTAAACTAATGTTTCAGTTCTCATGCAACTTCCGGTGTTTAGAGAACCTTAATTATAAATATGGTGATATTGGATATGGCTGTTAGAGACCATATTAGCTTATTCGAACAGGCCTAATTTGGCAGATCTTTTGTTTTCCAAATGCTTATTTCTTATTCTTGGATGTTAATTTCTTTACTACAATATTTGGGGTTTTACTATTCAATAACTAAGCTAATTTCCGTTTAATCATCTTTATTTGCAGATAAATGACTTTTACAAACATAGACTAGAGAAGACTAAACTCTAAGATGCTGTAATTAAATAGTCCAACCGACTCATATTTGATGTATACAAACTCCTTCCAAATTATGAAAATCGAGAATACAGAAGTGAAAGTGAATGCTGACCTTCATGCATTAAAACAACAGTGACATCAATTTTCGCCCTCTAAGCTCCAACTAAGCACTCTCAAAACTTCAGACGATTGGTTTTTTTAAAGCCAACGAGCTAGGTAAGTTGCTTAAGAGATTTGGCCTTAAGGCTGAAACTTTTAGACCAATCACTTGCATTATCCTATTGAAATCAAACTAAAATCGATATCTCTCTTCATCACTACGTAACTCTTCACCGAATTCAAGTAATAAACAAAAACAATGACCATAATAGGTCAAAAAGTTTTTCTAAATTAGTCAATAAGCAATAAGCATTTATAGAGGATATTTATAATGGATTAACTTTAGACAATTGTACAATTAACTGTTTAAGATATCATTAAACTACCTCAGCAAAATGCTCTATATTGTTAGAATTGGGTTATTTACAATCGATTGTTGAAATCCACGGGGGTGATATGACCATCATTTCAAAGAGGAAATAGACTGTTGATATATTTCGGTTGAATTAAGGTATTCACACTTAGCATATAAAAGAGTTCACATATATAAAAGTCTTGTTTGGGCGTTTAATGCGATAATACTAATAAAAAGACGTTAAATATAGTAGTGGGTTGGAAAGACATCTTTTAGCCTGCAATCGTAATTGGGGGGCATTTACGCTTGGTCTCGCTCATGTTTCCGTGTAACCTGAAACAGAATACAAATAAAAACAAATAGCACGGGATATATTATACAACAAAAGGTTAATATTTAGCCAAAAAATTGAAATTACGCAAAAATTAAAATTTTAACTTCATTTGGCTGTTTATATCTTTTGTATTTATAATCATTAAACCTATGCAGCAAGGCAAATAAACGTGTAACTTTTACTTATTTCTAAGTAATCGTAAGAGGATTAGATCGGTTTTATTACTTAAAAGTCATTCAGCTAACAATAAAATTGATAAAAGTAGAGGCATTCCCTATTTGAAGCCATGAATTCATATCATTTCTGTTTACGTCTCCACAATTATTTTCTGATAAGTTTATGACAATTAGTTCAAAATCTCTGAATAAGAAGGACAGTGACAACCACATGAAAATTCATAAAGCAGTTTGATAAAATGTCTTTGAAGAGCCCCGATTATTTTATATTTTAAAATGTTGGTTTATTATTTCAGTTCTGTTGTAATAGGTGGGGCAAGTATGGAAACAATTAAATCAGTGCAAAATTAAATCGAATTCCCAGTAAATTCGTGCAATTAAGAGACGAGCAATAAAAGCTTACATTCATAGGACAGTTGTGGCGGTAGACTGCAGTGTTGGTAAGCCTGTCAACAATAAAAGTTAACGCATAATAATATCAGTTAACTCATATTTAATGATTAAATATGAAATAAAATGGAAACGCTTACGCTCTTATTGAAATAAATATTTGTTCGAATGAAACGATTGTTTGATTTTTGGATTGGTCTGTAATTATCAGCCATTAGACCGGCAGTTTTAAATTCCGACATTCGCAACGTTCGCAAGCCCTTTAACTAAAAGTCAAAAATTGGTTATCCCTTAAACAAAGTTATCGCGTCACAATTTTAGAATCCATAATTGCACATTTTATTGATTCTCTCTATATCGATAATATCGTGATGAATCAGGTGTTTGAATAACTAAACACCCATTATTGTGGTTTAGTGAATCTACCTGAATTTTTAATCAATAAACAGCAATAAATAATTAAATAATAATAATTAAAATGTCCCCAACCTTGTCTTATGCACTTTCTCTGTTGGTTTGGATTAATATTATTCTCGTTGTGCATCGTATAATAGTCCAACGCCCTTTCCAGACTATGTGTATAGAGTCGCATCAACTCTTGTTAATTATGACGAGCAGATAGAGGTGAGAAATTCCACTTAGCCCTTGCAAATACTAGATCACATGTACTCGTTGCTGAAATATTCAGAAGATGACATGGGAAAATAACTACACAATCTAGGTTTAAGGAATTTCTTTCGCACTGTATTTATATTCCAACGAAGATTGAACCGGCGATGGAAATAGCTGTCAGGTGTTAACTACAAATTTACTGAATGCATTCAAATTATTGTACATGGGTGGAATTACAAACGAATGCATTCTTGTGAGATGAACTTTACTGATTCACACAAACTCTAGTTACGGCGTAAAAAGCGCTTGATCCGCTTCAACAGTTATCTATCTGAATCATTTAGTCAAGTACTTCTAGTCAAGACTCTCAGGAAGCAGAGTCAAATTCTGTTATTCAGCTAATAAAATTTGAAATGAGTAGCCCTTTAATACCTACATTACCTAAATGTACTAAGATCAGATTGGAAAAGCCAATTATACACGATTCCGTCAGAGTCCTGATATTTATCTATTTATTTTTGCTTACTTATTATCAAATATTTTATTCAATTGGCATTTCGTTGTGCTGCTAAACTATTATTCAACCCCACTTAACAAGTTTAGCAACTTGAAAACACCTCCCTCTTATGTTTTGGGAAGATAATGACTTTGCATTGTCATTTCAGCAATAATATAATAAAATTAAAATCTTGAAATCTAATTTGCAGAAATATCTTTATCACGGCGATTGAACTATCATATGGTACATATTTGATTTCTACTTATAGTTACATTAACGCAATACCGCCACAACACTATTAACCATAACATCCATACATAAAACAGCATTTATCTGTAAAACAAATAGAAAAAATGTCTTGAGTTCCTTTCACTGTACTAATATAAATTTATGTGCCAGTGATAAATTATTTAAAATCAATCGAGCTGATTTCGGTTTCTCATTAATAAACCTGTCATTGCATGGCAATGTGACTTCTAATTATTGTTCAGATTATGAGGAATCAAATAAAATACCACCTATGTCCCCCAATCTTATCCAAACAAAGTGACCTCTGAACGTATTTTCTTTCTAATTTGCCTAAATAAGTTGGCAATATGAAACGCTCATAGTTTTAATCGAAATTTTATGAAACGTAATTCGTTTATTCTTTTTAAGTAAAAATAAAATAGTGAATAGTATTAATTATATTATAAATAGGGAAAATTGTGAGCTCACATTTTCTTCAGTGACTATGACCGGTGCATTAAGGAGTATCCACGTCACGGTTTCATGACACCCGGGAAAGCTCAGTGAACCCTGATATGTAATGAATTCTTGTGTTGAAGGAAGCATTGTTTTGAGTATCATGCCATATAGACGTCGGTGTTCACCTAGTTGGAAATGGCAAAATTTACATTTATTTTAATAAAGAACTTTTAATGTTCTTAATTGCTCTGATCTGCTGGTTGATGCTGTAGCAAAACCGAGCTAATTGCTCCAGGAAACCTGTTCTAAGTTTCATTCGGGTCATTGTTCCAATAAATGCTTATTTGGCAAAGTTCAGATAGCTGATTGAAGAATAAAACCTTAAGTCCATCCTACATGACTCAAAGTTTACCACGCTTTATTTTTAAGAATAAAATCTCGCTTTCTTTTCTCTAAACTTTTGCAGACTGCATTCCTGATTCGCGATAGATAATAGGGAGTATGCCAAAGTTGATTTTCCAGAAAATACTGGCACTATTTTCTTATTTTTTGTGTTTTTGCCTTTTTCAGCCCATTCAAAAAAAGAATGCCCTTTAATTCAAATAGTATTCATAAGAAAGAGGACTGTAATCGTAAAAGTTCATTTTAATATCCTAAATCATAAAAGTGAAAGGTTGGGTTTGATTTACAGATTTTTACCTTGATAAGCTTTTGACAAATCATTTTCTAAATGTCAACTGATATAAACTTTTGGGAGCTTACTGCAGCCACTATATATGTATATTATGTAGAATACACAGTCTTCTAAGCACTATTTCTGTTTTGCAAAACTTTTAATCAACTTAGAAGATATTATTCCTATTGGATGATTTATATAATAATCAAATTAACTCCTCATTACTTAGAAGAAGGAATATTCACTGACCTTTTAATCGCACTTCAGAAATGGTGGTAAGAAGGGCGGATATATCGGGGGCAGTGGTTTGGCCTTTCTGCAGTAAGAAAACCAAATGGCACTATGAAGCAGAATTAACGAATCGAAATCTAATCTTGCAATACGCGCAAATGATAGAATAACTTTCACCGCAATTAACAATAGGTGAATGCGGATCGGACCTGGAAAAAAATAGTCTTACTTGCATAAAAATGGTAACAGCTGCAATACCATTGGGTCGATTGGCCGCATGAGAAAAATTTTGATAGAGATCAGAGTTATAAGCGTATAATTGGATCTAGAGGAAAAGAATATATGTATTAACCATCACTTTCTTTGACTGTTGATTATTAAAATATTAAACTAGTACCTCTCCCGGAAAAGCTTTTCCGTCAATTTGATGTTCTGAGCCAACATCAGATGTACTGCCAAATTTTATGACACCACCATGCAGACGATATCGATACGAGAGCGGACCATTCGTGAAGTAAATAGAGGATCCGTTGGATTCTGGTTGAAAGTACACGTCCTGTCCTGCATTTACCACATCAAACGTCAACTAAAATAAAAGTGCACTCAATAAAAATTGGTGATAGTGAGCGGCTTTTAAACTATTACCATAAATGCGTGTTCATTCCCAAAGACAAATTCCATCAAGGCTAAAATCGAAAGTTTTCAACAATTGGAATATAATGCACAATAAGCTGAATACCTGACTTTTGAATTCTTAATGTGTGAACTTTATCATTTGCACAAAACATATTGAATCCAAGTATCAATGTGTTTAAAACCCGTATTATTTCGGACACTGGAGTGGCCTCCAAATATCCGATATTTATAGAAGAATTGCATTCCCAAGGAAAGAGTTCAGCTTTTCCAAAGCATATATATTTTAAATGTGCATCTCAAAAGTTTTGCCGAGAGTGTGCCAACTCGGTTGCGTTGCCTGTCATAGATGTTGGACGAAGATATTTTGGTCGCTTGCTCTACTACCAATGAATGCAAAACAGTTGACTCAACTCAGAAAATTCACCAGATTTCATTCAATGATACTAGTCCCTATCTCCTCCAATTTCCCATTTTCTTATTTTTTACATGTTGACTCATTTTTATTTCATGCTAAATGCTTCTGTTAGCTTCAGGTCTTTTGATTTTACAAAAATAAAATGAATATCACCTCATGTTTTGCAAGAGTTATATCTCAAATTCCAGCTTTATCGTGCCATACGGTGCTATCTTAATAAAGTAATGGTATTTAGAAAGTAAAGCCATTCAGCTAACCATGTCAAATTTACATAGAAATAGGAGCATTAGTCTAGCTTCCAATTTTTTACCGTCATAGTTAATTTACGTAAGATATTTTGTATTAAGATAACGAGGGTGATTATTAATGTTCACGCACATTTAAAGACTTTAATATTTTACTAAATAGTGAGCATCATTGACAAGTTCCTTTGTTCTGACCTTTTAAACATTTAATAATTTTGCTTGGAAGTGTTTGACAGAACTAAAACTATTGCTTTAAAAATGTCATTTTTTTTAAATTCGGTGAATTTTTAGCCGATTTTAGAACAGGTTGCTAGATAAGACAAATTTGCGATGTAGCAATTATCCCGAGCTTGAATAATTTTATAAAAGTTAAAGAAATAAATTTAGGAAAGTTACATATTCTAACATTTTTTTGCAATGAATTTTCTCAAATTTAGTTTATTTAATCTACACTGTAACATTGTTTTAATTGAAAATTTCACTCAAAATTAAACATTGTTTGTTAGGTTTATAAATGAACGCTTCTATCATATTTAAAAGTAGTAATATTTGAAGTTTGATGCATATGGTTTTTCATACGATTTAATAAAAAAGAATATTAAAGAATTTTAAGATAAATAAACTTTATCGCCTGATGAAGTTGAGTATTTAATTAGAAATGACAATCAGGTTTCATGTTGAGCACTGAAACTGAAATATCATATCTAGGAAACTACTGGTACTAAATACACATATCAAATAAATTATTGCGATTTGTCAGACTTTCTCTTAGATGTCAAAACTCCTTCATCATATTCTGCTTTTGTGATGTTTCCCCATGAAGAAATGAATTTCCTTTCTCCCAATGAATCAAATTTCTTATTCCTACAACTTCCATTTCTTTGACTAACTCTGGTGTTAAAAAATGGAAAATCTTCGATAGTATAATACTTCGACTGTAGATTATAAATTCTAAAAATTCGATACTTAAACAGATGAAAGTGCACCAATAATAATACGAAATCGAACCTCAGCGGAAATGCCTTCAATAGCCAGAGGTCGGAGTGTATGATCAAATATTAGATCTTGGAGTCGAATGTTGATTGGAGATTGCATGTGTCCCTTCGAGCAGGCCGACCATATATCATTTGAAAACATCATTGAAGCGCGTCCCCAGTGATTTGGACCTACAAATAGCAGCTAGAAATAGAGCTGGCATCTAACCCAAAATCAGTATAAGCTTCGCTTTCATTTAGTTTTGATATTTTCAAATCCTTTTTTTCTAAAGGAATGTTAGAAATAAACGGAAGAGGATCGATTAGGTATTTAGGCAAAGTAAATACCGGTTAGCCAGATAATGGGTTGCCCAGACGTGACGCACGATAGACCGTAATGGCCATTCTGGTACAAAGACACATTATGTATAAATCACCATCAGAGGACATAGTGGCCAGTGAAAGCACAATTTTGCTTTAGCTGATAGGAAAATTGAATTTTAACTTTCAACCAATCATTCCATTGTACACTTCTTTGGCGAATTTCTTTTAATCTTTAATCACCACATTCCTTTGAGTCAAAACACCACGACCTGAGTTTTAATAGCAATTTCATTTTAGTGGTCACCTGATGGGAGTTAGTGTTTGTAACACTCTTCATTGACAGTTGAGTTTCGTCATCTATGAAAACTCATTCTTATTAAAAGCAGCCATCATAGAATTGAAACCATATGTTCCACCATTTGAAGGCAATGCAAATATTATAGTAGGAGGAGTGAATTACGGAACCAAAAATGTGAGTCTATTCGGATATCAGTACAATAGTGGAACAAGCACATTAAAAATTTCATTGCTAGTTTTAACCCCATACTCATACTTGTAAGAGCGTACCTTTGAATTCTGTTAGATTGATTAGCTATTCGTCTTTGTCCAATTCCCCGAAAGTTCTGAATACGGTGTACATGATTTCACCCAGAAATTTGCGAATCAAGTAGAACAAATAAATGCGCTTCGACAATTTTTAATCAAGAATAATATGGAAAATATATTTCTACAAAAATTGAATAGTTCAAACAAAATATATATATATATATATAAATTTCAATTTTCGCAAACATGACTTCATAACATACTAGTATAAGAGTCTTTACTAGCGTAAAAACAAACAGTTAATGTGCAAAAAAATGAGAGCAAATGAAAGTAGAAAGAAGAACGGTGTTTAGTGAAGGCGTTTGCATAAGTGATGACTGGTTTGCAGTCAACAGACATGAATGCTTACATGGGTATTGCTCTTTAATAAGTAGTCAATATTACATCACTGACGAAAAATTTTCATGGACCATTAAAGGTGCAATACAAAGAGAACGAATCAGCGTACGCATGGACTAAAAGCCTCAAAACTGAGAAAATATTGACATTGTAAGCATAGAGAAATAATATTACGTCAAAGTAGAAAATTATAACTCCGTGTTAGAGTTATATGACTTTTATTCCTGTTCACATATTTCAGGAATTGCCTACTTTGTATTCTGATAAATTCATGTTTTTTTAATAAAATCAAAACTTTAGTAGTCAGTTGATTAATTCCAATCCAACGATTGGCCAATTTAGACATGCGTACTAAGCGATGATATGATTATAACGAGGACAAACCTGTGTAAATTCAATCGACCTTGACTTAAAAAGTAACTTAATAAAATCGCAGCCCCGTTATTTGCACAATAGAACACAAAGCTAAGTATTGAGTCCAGTTATATGTAAAATATTCTATGGCCAACTGAATGAATTCGTCTTGTTTTACTTCCCTCAAACATATCGCACAATTCAAAATTCTGTTGCGTTCTGTTTTGCTGACCTTAGACCACCATGCAAGAATAATTAATGTGCAATTATTGAATTTCATCAAGCTGCATTCGCACGTTGTATAAATGTCGTTTAGTGGCAAAGAAAGTGGTTTCCTCTGAGTTCATATTTGCCAGTAAAAAGTTGTAGCCTCTAAGCGAAAAGTCAAAAGGACTCTTTCAATCCTTCCTCAATACCCACCCCAAACCCCCTTTTTTGCGCATTTGACAGCAGAATTTCGAATTGGCAAAATTTAGTCACGTAAATGCAGGAATATAAAACTCAAACGCACTTTTACTTTCAAACAAAAAAACTTACGAATAAACATTCAAAATCAAAGCAAAACAAATTGGTTGCTTAACATTTTAGTCAAACAATCTCATTAACTACTCATGAAGTATGAGCAAACGAAACATATATATATGTTAATTGTCATTTTAATACTTTATATACTTGATATTTCTTCTTTTTAACTCCCCTTCAATTAAGAGTAGTTTGTCAGCTCATAATTATTATTGGTTTCTCTTTTATGAAAGCATTAGTTGTATATCAATGCAACTGAACAAGCTCGTATGGTAAATGTAGAAGTGGGCAATTAAAACAAAAGGAGTAGAGGAAGACGATTTAAGCGACAATAAAGTAAGGACCTACCTCCAATTGCGCCTTCCTTGTAGTGCCACCAATTGTCCCACGTCAAATCCCAGCTGCCTTCTTGCCAGAGGCAGTCTACCGATATCACTGAAAAGAAATGGAATAATGCACTCTTCTGCATTAATTGATAGATAATAAAGTTTTAGCCGTTAATATAGCGTATTCGAGCAAAAGGTCAATTATATCCCGTTAATAAGTCTGCTTTTTTCTCTCAAGAATTCTTGCCGTACAAAATCAATATTCAATTGAATTTTCGCTCCATTCATGCTTGCTTACCACAAGTAGAGAGTTTATTACGATTACTGTTTATTTTTGATACCAAAAGTCTCGAATCAAATTATATAAATAAATAAATATATGCATATTTGCAGAAAAGAGTGTGATGATTGCAAAATTATGATGGCATGCGAGTGAAAATGGTAGATGAATTGCGTTGCATTGAATTGAGCAATTGCTCCACAATCCACTGAAAATTATTCCACATATATCAGGCCATCAATCACTGCAAACTGTTATTTATTGAATTCTGCTACATCAATCATTGCGCAAAATTTTGACACTTTAAGGAAACAAAAAAAAGCAAAAATTAACCATTTGTTCTAGCATATTTTGAAATGGCTAAATTTCGAAATACCACGATTTTGGCATCTATTTGGAAGAGAATAATTAAGCAAATGCATGAAAATGGAATTTAAGCACTGAACGAAACAATCATTACAGCGCTTTCAATATTAAGACAATTTCAACTTTCTATTTTTTATCTCCCTTAAACAGAACAGTAATGCGCTTATTTAACTAAATCATGGCTCTTTGCAGTGAGTTGAAGTTGTATAGATATGTCTAAATTCACCCATTCATTCTCATCATTGGGCCACAAAAATATTGCTTTAGATGTTTACAAATGTGTTTTGAGAGTTAATCTTAGCCAAACTAAATCCAAAGAGACAATGGGGACTTTGCACCCTGCAATAAAAGTTGAAGTTGTAGAGTATTTTTATTGGCAAATTCTTACTAAATAATTAATATAACTTAATCGTGGGTGGTATAAAAACGTGATATGGAATGGGCCAAGTACTTTTAAATGTCAAACCTGGCAGGTATGACGTGTAAATAAAAAATAAATTAACTTTTACACTTCACGAGATAAGGCTCCAACAATGGAATACAAATGTAAAGATTAACTTCTATTCAAAAAGTTAATCGCATATTTTGCTCAATCTCTTTTATCTTGTCACTTTGAAAAAAACACGTCGAAAGCCATTTAAAGTTAGCATATTCTTAGCGTTCGATGTTTTTCACATGAATTTAGCATTTTGGAAAGCGTTAAAAGTAAAGAAATATTTTAAATTTAGGTCCCAATGAAATGGAATATAAAATTGGCTTTGATTGTAAGTTTAAAATATTAACTTTCTTTCCGTTTAATATCCCCATTTTAAATGCCCTTACTTAATCAACTGGGTTGCATTTTGAGAAGTAACTAATTTACCTATGGTGGTTATTTTCATATATATATATATATATATATATATATATATATACATTTATTGCAAAAATTTCAAAATCATGTTGCTTGCAGACTTTATTGACATTTCAATTACCTACTCTGAGTAGATAAAGGATAAAATATCTCGCTCCCGGTAATTTCAAATTCACTTGAAATTTCTGGTAGTGTCTTTTGTTGTGTTGATTTGATTAGATTTTCAGACGATAAATGCTATTTTTACCCTTACCAATACTAACTATAGCAAATTTTAGTTGCAGAAAGCATCTAAATTCGAAAAACTACAAGTCACATGAATGATCAAGCGGGG